GAGGTTGACGAGGTAGATTAAGTCGTAGCAACTACCCAAGAGGTAGATGAAGTAGATCAAGATCCAGCACCCTACCTGTGCAGGTGCACCCAGATGCCCAGTTTCCAGTGTAACTCGTTTACAAGAGATTAGAACCACGGTCTCAAACGGGTTATTCCGAGAGTGGTGGCGGCGGCCAGGTCCGTGGTGGATGCTAAACTCCCCCAAAACTGGATTCAGACCAGATACTTATCAGCGCCAGCATTTTACATAAGACTGGCTGTTAAGAGTCTAGAAATGCTGTAAAAATGTATTAAAATACATTATGCACTCCGCCACTCTTTTGAGCTTTCGACAACTACGGTGGATTTTAATGGAGTTATGGCCTGAAGTTGGATTTCAGCCCATACACCTTAGATAATGGTCAAGACTTTGTTGTCCACTTTCCTGCACCACGGGGGTTTAATCTTGTATTATACAGTCAAATAGATACATTAAATACAATACAAAAATGACTGTATAATCCCCCTTATGATAGATATTACGCCTCTGAAAAAAATCTTGATAATTAGTTTGCCCTTACTGGCCAAAAATAGTGAAATGTCAAGCTTATTCGGCGCAATACTTTATACACGTCGATAACTCCTTTGGGATCCGGCTGGCAAGTACAAGAGGCCAAGCGAGCACAAGAGGCCAAGCGAGCACAAGAGACCAAGCGAGCACAAGAGGCCAAGCAAGCACGCGGGACCAAGCGAACACAAGAGGCCAAGCGAGCACAAGAGGCCAAGCGAGCACAAGAGGCCAAGCAAGCACGCGAGACCAAGCGAGCACAAGAGGCCAAGCGAGCACAAGAGGCCAAGCGAGCACAAGAGGCCAAGCGAGCACAAGAGACCAAGCGAGCACAAGAGGCCAAGCAAGCACGCGGGACCAAGCGAACACAAGAGGCCAAGCGAGCACAAGAGGCCAAGCGAGCACAAGAGGCCAAGCGAGCACGAGAGACCAAGCGAGCACAAGAGACCATCAGCAAGCACTCGAGGCCAACCGAGCACAAGAGGCCAAACAAGCACTCGAGGCCAAGCGAGCACAAGAGACCAAGTGAACACAAGGGACCATCAGCAAGCACTCGAGGCCAAGCAAGCACTCGAGGCCAAGCGAGCACAAGAGGCCAAGCATCACAAGACGGACACAATAAGTAGAGCAGGTTTGGTGTAGCAAGGCCCATTATTTCACAGGAGCCGGAGAAAGGTCAGAGTAGCAAACTAACCATTCGCTTCCCGAGCCCGTGCGTGTGTGGCATTTCTGCCCCAGAGCTCAAGGGCAAGACAAGGACTTGGCCCACACCAGCGCACTCTTAGTGGCCGGCCAGCCCCGATATGGTGACTTCGACCAGCTGATCTTTGTTTACGTTTGTTGACGATCGTGTGCTGGTTCCGGATACGATGGAAGGGGCATGTTTTTGTGTAGCGACTCTGCTGCTATGGAGTCGGGTGATGGAGCGAAATATTCATTTATTCTGGACTAGGAACGGACATAGGGCCTACTAGGAACATAGGGCATAGGTCTACTAGGAACGGTATACCTGCTTGCGTTCCTAGAATGTATATGTCAATGATATTTGTAAGGTATACATGCATTCTGGACTAGGAACGGGCATAGGGCCTACTAGGAACATAGGGCATAGGTCTACTAGGAACGGTATACCTGCTTGCATTCCTAGAATGTATATGTCAATGATATTTGTAAGGTATACATGCATTCTGGACTAGGAACGGACATAGGGCCTACTAGGAACATAGGGCATAGGTCTACTAAAAACGGTATACCTGCTTGCATTCCTAGAATGTATATAATATGCCAATGATATTTGTAAGGTATACAACTGAATGCAAGAATGCAGTAGCGCTTTCGAGAGACAACTAGGTTGTGTGGACAAGCAGGGCCACGACTGGTGTTGGAAGCGATAACTCACCAGTTTATAGGGTCCGTCCCTGTGAGATAAATCATTTTCTGGAGGCGGCTAAATTATATACACTGAGCGTCTAAGGCGATCCCGGCGGCGTGTGCAGCTCCGGCTCGGGCAGGACCCTTATGAGTTACTTTTGATGAGAAAGAATTGAATTGCAGTCAATCATTACGGTTAATTTGTAAATAAAGCAATTTGAGAGTATCATTGATATTCACTGCTTTTCTAAATGATTCGTATAGGAGTACCTTCCCAAAGCCTTATACATAACTTTCATATATACATATAACATGTTGGAAGCACAGAGGAGGAGATATCAGGGGGAAAGCGCCAAGCCTTTACGACTATATAGCACTGGGAAGGGGTCACGATAAGGATTTGGGATGGGACGGAGGGAAGGAATGGTGTCCCAACCACTTACACGGTCGGGGATTGAACGCCTACCTGCATGAAGCGAGACCGTCGCTCTACCGTCCAATCCAAGTGATTGGGCAAGCACAGAAGAGGTAGGAGACTTAGCGCTGACGCGGTATACTGATTATTATTTACAGCTTCGTTGAACTCTCAGACTGTTTCATTCACTAATATATTAACAAAACACAACGTACCGTTCTTACACTGAGCATAATGTTAACTTCACGCTAAACATTCTTAGTCTACACATTAAGAATAGAAACGTTCATTATTTTAACCAGACCACACACTAGAACTTGAAGGGACGATGACGTTTCGGTCCATCCATTCTCAAGTCGATACACTTGACTTGAGAATGGTCCAGGACGGACCGAAACGTCGTCGTCCCTTCAACTTCTAGTGTGTGGTCTGGTCAACATACATCAGCCACGTTATTGTGACTCATCGCCTGCAACGTTCATTAACTTCACCACAAACAAACGTTCTGCTAAAGGTGTTGAGGAACGTGTGAGAACGTATCGAGAGACCCAGCAGGATATAAGCACATTAGGGAACGGACAGTGGAGTGGTAGGTCAGCTAGGTCACCTAGGAGGTCAGCTAGGTCAGCTAGGAGGTCAGCTAGGTCAGCTAGGTCAGCTAGGAGGTCAACTACGTCAGCTAGGAGGTCATCTAGGTCAGCTAGGTCAGCTAGGAGGTCAGCTAGGAGGTCAACTAGGTCAACTAGGAGGTCAGCTAGGAGGTCAGCTACGTCAGCTAGGAGGTCAGCTAGGTCAGCTACGTCAGCTAGGTCAGCTAGGTCAACTAGGTCAACTAGGAGGTCAGCTAGGTCAGCTAGGAGGTCAACTAGGAGGTCAACTAGGAGGTCATCTGGTGTCAGCTGGTGTCAGAGGGTAGAGTGGACACCAACAAATGCCAGAGCAATGGAATGACATTGAAGGGGAAGGAATGATTACACAAGGACACCAGGGTCCAGATTCACGAAAGCACTTACGCAAGCACTTACGAACCTGGGGCCAGATTCACGAAGCAGTTACGCAAGCACTTACGAACCTGGGGCCAGATTCACGAAGCAGTTACGCAAGCACTTACAAACCTGGGGCCAGATTCACGAAGCAGTTACGCAAGCACTTACGAACCTGGGGCCAGATTCACGAAAGCAGTTACGAACCTGGGGCCAGATTCACAAAGCAGTTACGCAAGGACTTACGAACGTGTACATCTTTCCTCAATCTTTGACGGCTTTGGTTACATTTATTAAACAGTTTACAAGCATGAAAACTTGCCAATCAACTGTTGTTATTGTTATAAACAGCCTCCTGGTGCTTCGGAGCTCATTAACTGTTTAAAAATTGGAAACAAAGCCGCCAAAGATTGAGAAAAGATGTACAGGTTCGTAAGTGTTTGCGTAAGTACTTTCGTGAATCTTTGTTCTTCTTTCGTGAAGAACAGAGACCTTATCCAAGCCAATGGAAGGTCTCAGCTGAACATCAGCTCCCTTAGACGATATTTTACGTCTAATCTTATCATAAATTCCTTTCTTATCTGCATCTCTACCGTGACACAGATTAAAAAGCTTAACGCTATTGGTCAAGGACGACTTGAGAAGTCTTGAGCTATTGAATCAATATACAAACTACGGTTTTATATTAATCTTATCTTATAGGTAGATGCTATATATTAACAATCTCTTGCTATGATAACAGAAAGGCAGCTAATTGAAAGTTATTAAGATGAACTGCATCTTTATTGATGATATGAACGTCTTGAACGTTTAGATGAAATGCATCTTTATTGATGATATGTCCGTCTTGAACGTCTTGAACGTTTAGATGAAATGCATCTTTATTGATGATATCGTAGTCCGTCTTCATGCTGAAAGTTGTTATCAAGATTAGATAAGATAATTCAACATATTTGAACACAATAAAGTCTAGGAAGAATCTTTTTTGTTAGTTTCAGAATATATGATAATACTCAAGTGAGAGATTTTTGCATGACAATCAGGAGGAAAACAAAGAATTTCCTGAGTGGATTCTTCTTAGTTGTCAAGTCTTTCATGGCGGTGGCATTGACAAGAATGGCGACAGCGGAAGTGAGTTGACGGAGATGGCGACAGAGACTTGTCGTGGCGACGGAGACTTTGTCGGGGCGACAGAGACTCTTGTTGTGGCGACAGAGACTTGTCGGGGCGACGGAGACTTGTTGTGGCGACAGAGACTTTGTCGGGGCGACAGAGACTTGTCGGGGCGACGGAGACTTGTTGTGGCGACAGAGACTTGTCGGGGCGACGGAGACTTGTTGTGGCGACAGAGACTCTTGTTGTGGCGACAGAGACTTTGTCGGGGCGACAGAGACTCTTGTTGTGGCGACAGAGACTTTGTCGGGGCGACGGAGACTTGTTGTGGCGACAGAGACTTGTCGGGGCGACGGAGACTTGTTGTGGCGACAGAGACTTTGTCGGGGCGACAGAGACTTGTCGGGGCGACGGAGACTTGTTGTGGCGACAGAGACTTGTCGGGGCGACGGAGACTTGTTGTGGCGACAGAGACTCTTGTTGTGGCGACGGAGACCTTGTTGTGGCGACGGAGACTTGTTGTGGCGACAGAGACTCTTGTTGTGGCGACAGAGACTCTTGTTGTGGCGACAGAGACTCTTGTTGTGGCGACGGAGACCTTGTTGTGGCGACGGAGACTTGTTGTGGCGACAGAGACTCTTGTTGTGGCGACAGAGACTCTTGTTGTGGCGACAGAGACTCTTGTTGTGGCGACAGAGACTCTTGTCGTGGCGACAGAGACTCTTGTCGGGGCGACAGAGACTCTTGTCGGGGTGACAGAGACTTGTCGGGGCGACAGACTCTTGTCGGGGCGACAGACACTCTTGTCGGGGCGACAGAGACTTCTTGTGGCGACAGAAGTCGATTGATTGATAAAGATTAAGCCACCCAAGAGGTGGCACGGGCATGAATAACCCGTATAAATAAAAAATCCAAGTCTGGAGAACTTGGAAGATGTCCCCCTCAAGACACTACCATCGACCTTAAGACAATCACGTAGCTTGTCTTCAATTATAAATCCTGTTTTTAAGAAAAATGTCGTGATATAAGAGGACTTCAAATCTCATGTGATAAAGGGAGCCGGTCGGCCGAGCGGACAGCACGCTGGACTTGTGATCCTGTGGTCCTGGGTTTGATCCCAGGCGCCGGCGAGAAACAATGGGCAGAGTTTCTTTCACCCTACGCCCCTGTTACCTAGCAGTAAAATAGGTACCTGGGTGGAGGCCTGGTCGAGGACCGGGCTGCGGGGACACTAAAGCCCCGAAATCATCTCAAGATAACCTCAAGAAGATAACCCATTATCTACCCATCAGCTGAGCCAATGGGACCTGGTGATCACAATCAACCAGTATCGACCAGGTACCAGATTCACGAAGCAGTTACGCAAGCACTTACGAACCTGGGTCCAGATTCACGAAGCAGTTACACAAGCACTTACGAACGTGTACATCTTTCCTCAATCTTTGACGGCTTTGGTTACATTTATTAAACAGTTTACAAGCATGAAAACTTGCCAATCAACTGTTGTTATTGTTATAAACAGCCTCCTGGTGCTTCGGAGCTCATTAACTGTTTAATAATTGTAAACAAAGCCGCCAAAGATTGAGAAAAGATGGACAGGTTCGTAAGTGCTTGCGTAAGTGCTTTCGTGAATCTGGCCCCTGGTCATTTAGGCGTGACGAAGTCTTTAATAACAAATGCACCAGGACCGTGACGAGGATTCGAACTTACGTCTATGAGCCTTCATAACAATATTGAACGCCAT